TTAGATTTTTAGGGGTATTAGGGGTTTGACTGGGTAAAAAACTAAGAACTACCTTAAGCACCACATAGAATGATGACAGCATGTGAACCTGAGGGGAGTACAGCTCAGGATCTCGAAGAAGTAACATCTAAGTCCTCCTCCCAGTCTCTGAAAAAATGTCTATCATATCAATGTAACCTTTGACTAGATGCTAATGTGTATTTAGCAGGAAATAATTTATTACAAGAGTATCTGCCAATCAGACTGGTAAGTAGTTGTCCTCTACCACATCAGACCAAACAGGCCTTTAGATCCCCATTATTCAAGAGAATGATGGCAGCAAACCGACCGGTCAATGAGATACAGACTGAATTTAGCTGCAGATGCATGATAGGCAGTGGTTCAGATTTGATTGGACTTGTCATATGAAATGGTGAGCAGCGGTATGCATTTCTACTGGTTCATATATTCTAGCAGCAGTGAAGATCTGAGTTTTTTATGAGCATCTACAGAAGCAGCTTTAAGTTGCCAGTTCATGCAGGAATCTGCAGCAGGGAAGAGCAGAACATTTAAGAACCTCCCAGAAAAACCTTCAAGGCAGAATTCAACACAGAAAAAGCTTCAGTTCAATGATAAAATCATTTCACACCGACTAAGAGATGTACTTTTATAAACTCCTTGGAAAAGGAGAATTAGTTACTCCAAAGCAGACACAGACTCAATCTCATGGTGACAGTCTATAGGAGCAGCATAGAGTACGTTTCAACCAGAGAGCAAAGCGACATCAGAGGCTCCACAAGTAAAGTTAAAATCCCTGGTGGGCAAGGCAAAACTTTAAAACAGCTGGCAAAAAGTGACAAATAAGGAAATACTTACAGTTCAGATCAAGCATCATCATCATATCACGTAGACACAAAGAGAAATTCCCATAACAAGAAAAATTAAGGACTACAAATCAATCTAAACTGAACTGTCAGACACGGACGTCACCAAGCTGGAACTGAAGAAACAAAGGGAGACACTAGAGAAAGCAAGAACTGCAGATGCTGGAGTCAGATACAACAGTGTGGAAATGGAGGAACACAGGAGACATTAGAGGAGCAGGAAAGTTGATGTTTTGGATCGGGACCCTTCTTCAGAAATAAGCCTAAGCTTCAGAGTAGAAGCCTAAGGAGCCTGGTCTAATGCAAGGAAATAGACAGAACACTTTAGAAAGGCAACATGAAAGGCAGAAGATCATTCAGTAATAACTTTGAAGGCAGGAAGCATTTATTTAACTTCAAGGAGTAGGAATTAGTCTGATTTTGCCTCCAGCAAGATGTATCACCTGATTATGGGAATGTTAATATTATTCCTCGTAACATAAGAAACTGGGCACGGATATCATTGATTCAAAGGCTCCTAGAGACATTTCTTACAGTTATTATATATTCCTCAGAAACCCAAGTCTGGGCTAGCATTAACCTATTGATACAGTGCAGCATAATTTCTGTAGTGCATCATGCTACAAGTCATCAGAGTTAATATGGAGAATGATATATTTGTGCTCAAGTCACATGCTAGAATATAGTTGTGATATTGTGAGCATGTCACTTAAAGGTATAGTGATCACCATGACATACAGCACAACATCCCTTTTTTTTCCCTCAAATTAAAAAAGAAGCCCAACATACTTATATAGAAATAATATGATTGAATGTAGGCACATGTGAATTTGATTTTACCAAACAGGTAAAATAAAGTTTACTAGAACAGCAATTCAAACATCAATACAACTCTTCGGAAGTCTGACAACTCATTCCGAACTGGAGATTGTATTCTGTTTGGAGAGGTACTCATTGCTCTCTGTTCACTAGTTTGACAACATGTCTAGTTGCTGGTTGCTGTCATTCAATGACATTGCACAATCAATGGAATATTCGTCCTTACTCTCTTCATGCACAAATGTTATGCCATATGTTGGTCTGTGATGGCCACCGTGATCAGTAATAACTATGTATAATCAGGGTTGCTATAGAATATTTTATAAAGCTTTGCTGCTTTTCAAATATTTGTAATTATATTTCTAACATACATACTTTGCCCAGTGTAGTTTATCATTTCATTTTTCTTTCTCTTTGAAGAAGAACGTTCCATCACTCAGAATACTTAGATAATTGGTTGCTGAGTAATCATGTTCACACTTGTTTTCTGAATAAATTGTGCTGGGGTGGTAATCTCTTCTCCACTGACATTACATGAAAATGCAGCAATGCAATGTAAAATGTCTTGCTTTATTTGCTCAACACTTCATGATCATTAATTTGCTATGTTCGAACCCTTGCTGAGTTTTCATTATTTTTATTCTTTTACCAATTTTGGTTTGGAGCTGTGGACTGAGAACTGCAAGCAAAAAATTATCTTTGGACTGTGGGCAACAGCTTGTGTTAAAAAGAAACAGATCAGACAAGTTGTGTTTGTTTGATGCGCCAGGCCTAGAAGTTAACTACAGGTTGAGTCTTGACCACAAGGTTCTACAGACACTTCAACACCATAGCAGTATGTTTAAACAGATACCAGATGTTGGATCTGAATGAGGTCAGTACCTAAGAATTGGTTCCAACAAGTCCAGAAGAAACTTTATGCTCAAGCAGATGGCAGATGTTGACTAATGTAACTGGGCCATTGTGGGGAGATGATCAGTCTGACAGGGTTTAACCAGTGAATTTGAACAAGGTTATGAAATGTGTTTTCTGGAAGAATGAGTTTGGCTGGTGACGCAAAAGCATGAAGATTGAAAATTCCCTGCCTAACCTCCTGCTTATCAGCTATTGGAAGTTCAAGGAATAGCTGGGTTATAAGTAACACTGGCTTCTTCTAAGTGAACTGAAAAGATGGCTCTAATTGACACAGAGTCAAAGAGATGTATAGCATGGAAACAGACTCTTTGGTCCAACTCGTCCATGCCAACCAGGCATCCTGTATAAATCTTGACCCATTTGTCACCATTTGGCCCATATCTGTCTAAACCTTTCCTATTCATAAACTTATCCAGATACCTTTTCAAATGGTGTAATTGTACCTGCCTCCACCACTTCCTCTGGCAGCTTGTTCCATACATGCACCATCCTCTGTGTGAAAAGGTTGCCCCTTAGATCCCTTTTAAGTCTTTCCCCTCTCACCTTAAATCTAGGCCCTCTAGTTTTGGACTCCCCACTCCAGGGAAAAGACCTAGCCTATTTACTCTATCCATGCCCCTCATGATTTTATAAACCTCGATAAATGTCACCCTTCAGCCTCTGACGCTCCAGGGAAAATAGTCTCAGGCTATTCAGCCTCTCTCTATAGCTCAAACCCTCCAACCCTGGCAACATCCTCGTAAATCTTTTCTGAACCCTTTCTAGTTTCACAACAGCCTTCCTATAGCAGGGAGATCAGAATTGCACACAATACTCCAAAAGTGGTCGAACCAGTGTCCTGCACAGCTGCAACATGGCCTCCCAACTCCTATACTCAATAAACTGACCCAATATAGGCAAGCATACCAAATGCCTTCTTCATTATCCTGTCTATCCGCGACTCCACTTTCAAGGAACTATGAACCTGCACTTCAAGGTCTCTTTGCTCAGCAACACTCTCCAGGACCTTACCATTAATTGTATAAGTCCAGCCCTGATTTGCATTTCCAAAATGCAACACCTCACATTGATCTAAATTAAGCTCCATCTGCCACTCCTCAGCCCATTGGCCCATCTGATCAAGATCCCATTGGACTCTGAGGTAACCTTCTTTGGTGTCCACTTCTCAGAAAATCAACCAAGAAATTATGATCTATGCCTATGGAACAAAGCATCATGAAAACCACTTCAGTAATTTGGCCAGTTTTGATATTTTCTTTGTTCTTGTTTTTTTACCTGTCTTTTGTGGGAATGGGGCTGAAAACAAAGGTTATTATGTTTAAACACAGGCAATTAGATTTCTTTGTTATTAATTTTGTTTTGCTAAAGTTACTTGTTGTTAATAATTTGTTAACTCTTACAAACTATAAACCAGTGTCAATAACTGATTATTCACAGAGTCTGGGATTGATTATTTCAAAAAAGGTCTGGTTAGGAACCATTCGGGTGAATTTTGTGGGTCTTTGAAGATTTTAGTTTTACTGTGTTGCAAATACAGAGGCAGAAAGGCTGATTTGTTTCAGCTGTCTGTCTTCATGTTATAACAAGTAGTACATACGATATATTCTGTTAGACTGCTTGAGTGTGAATAGTTGGGTGATAATGTGATGTGGGTCACTCCCCAGAGTACACATCTGGAAACAGTTTGAAAGTGGACTAAGGTCCATTGTCAGATATCATCTGCTCTGGGACAGTGAACAAAATAAAAATAGTGCCCATCATATCAGCAGCTCTCTATGCCAATAAGTTAAACAAAACGAAGTTTTAAATATTCTCTGTATACACAAACTTCCCTCTTGTCTAAATAAAACTATTCACCATGACACCACTTCCTCAAGTTATGTAGCCAAGAAACCTTGAATACCTTGAATCTGCTAACAAGTCTATTGTGTAGCATTTCAAATGCCATTTCAAAGCCTGCATGCACAACAACCAGACTATTCATCTATCCTCTCTGTTGCTTGATCAAACAACTCATCAAATTAGTTGAATACCACTTGCCTTTAATAAATTGATACAGGTCTTCACATTATTATTTTACTGTCAAACTTGTTTTAAACAATGTGTACATTTGCAGTCATTCAGTTCCATATCTAAAAAGGACTGGAAGACTTACAATTAATGAATTATAATTATCATTCAAATTCAAAAAGTCCCATCAAATCTGAAATCACTATGGTTTGTTTCAGAATAAGTCTTTCTGATGTTGAAATATACTGTTGATCTGTTTCATACTTTTGAAAATTACATCAGGGAGTAAGTTCTGCAAGTTTATTTACAAATAATCTTGTATAGATGAGTAAAAAACAACTCTGGAATAGTTAACAATGCTCTACAGATGTTGTAAACTGTGACACATCTTACCTAGTTCAGTAGATAAACGATGTAATGGTCTTGCTGGTTTGAGGGATTTGCGAATTACTGGCACCTTCCTGGTGGTATCCATGATTATTGGAGAGATCCTGTTTATAAAACTTGTAGTTTTTAAACCATGTTTTAAAACCATTAGGTCAATCTAATGAATGCAAGTGTCAAATCATAAAAATTGTGTAGCACCATATAACTTATAGTAAGCCACAAACATTATTTGAATATCACTCTTATCAAAATACTGAACATTTTACATTCAAATTTGATTCCTCATAGAAATTTTTTGTGGTGTTTGTAGCATTTTAACTTTTAAGATCATTAAGGCACAACTTCTGCTGTGCAAGATAATGGTTTCAAGTGTTTCAAGTGTCTCACTATACTGTTGTGCCACATTTTTGAAAAACAATTGAAGGTAAATCCTGTAGCATTGCATTTTACTTCTTAAAAGTCCTAACTAACTTTAGAGCATGCCTAGAGCTAGCTTTTCTTTAGTTGATCTACAGCGAAAACGCACAGTTAGAAAAACTCCAAAATTATCAGAGAGTTGTGAATGTGAGTTATGTTTATGATTGCAATGCACTGAGTTTCAAATCTCAGCCTATTCCTTGGAGAAGGAAAACTGAGGTCATCCATTAGCCATACTGCCTGCACACATCCTAAATAGCTATTTTTAGACAAGCATTTTCACATGAGAGTACGATAAATTTGAAGAGAAGTTAAAATGCTATGTTTCAGGTGTTGGAAAGTGGGATCAGAGAGAGTGGCCAGCTTATTCAGAGAGCAAGTACAATAGTACTAATTGCCTCATTCTGTGCTGTAACTTTTCAACTGTTCTATTTTGTGTCAAACTCTTGATATCTTAATGGACCTAAAATAACTTCTCAATGTTGTGACTGTTTCATGCAATATGGTTCAGTAAATTTCTCTTAAGAGAAAACTCAGTTCGTCATAAAGTATGGAACAGCTTACTACTTGTTACATTTAAGGTCAACATCAAGTATTTGAAACTCAATTCCCACTGAGAACTCTTACGTCTAGCAATCTCAAAGATCATCTAGTTCACCATCTTCCATTCTAGCAGTTACATAATACAATAGAGTTATTGACCAATCTTGACCCGTAAAACAACTAGACACAAGGTAAAGAAACCCATCAGATGTTTAAAGGTATCTATTCTTCGCAGCATGCTACATTTAAAACGTAATGTATCAAATTATGTATATACACTATTTCAAAATACTCTGAAGAAATCTAGTTTGAATTTGAATCAACCAATGCAATCCATGTCGTTCACTTCCCAATATGGATCAATACAAGATAATTACCACCTGCTCAGTAAAGTAATGCTTCTACAGATTAGTTTTGTTCTCGCTCACTTTACGATTGGGCCATGCACTCGGCTGCACTGTTCTGGATGATGTGGAGCAACTCCTCATGCTCTATATTATTTTAACATCTGACAATAGCAATCAATTTCAGGTTCTGCTGCTTGAACATAGATAATGTAGATCAAGGCAAAGCAGTGAAACTCTCTTTTAAACCTAATCACAGCAGTCACTTCATCTTCCCTTTCCCTTTTCCATTCTCTTAAAATTCACTTAATTGCTTCTCATACCATCTCCCTTCATCTATCTTTGTGGCTCGTCACTCTATTTTTTCAATACCCACATCATCTTCAACATATTATAATGATTTATAAATACCATGATTAACTCACTATTCTGGCTCAATATTTACCTTTTAATACATCTCAATATTTGATTTGCTTAATTCACTGTGACAGTATTCTATTCACACAACCTTCCACATCAGATATGAATTCTTGAACAATTCAGCTTATCACATTGCTGTGGAATAGTATTGTGTACAAATTGCCCATCGCACTTCTCACCTTGCATGGTGACACCTCAGTGTTTCATTGGCTGGGAAATATTTTGGTACTCAAGTCATGAAATGTTGAGTGTTGAAACAGATGGCTATAAAAATATGGATGCACTGCTGATCACCATACAATATTCGATAGAATCTGGCTCATGCGTACAGACTGGAAGATTGTATATGTAACCACAATACTTAAAAAGAAGGGAGAGAGAAAATGGGAAGAAACTATACACCTGCTAGCCTAACATCAGTACTAATAAAAATACTGAATCTATTCCAAACGATGTTATAACTACACACTTAGAAAAGAAATAATTTGATGGTCAGAGTCAACACTGATGAATGAAAGGAAAATAATGCTGGACAAATCTGTTGAATTTTGAAGAGATTACAAACAGAGTTGTTATCTGGTTTCCCTTTGTGGGAGAGTCTAAGATCACAGACCATAGCCTCAGTTTAAGAGGGTGCCTATTAAAAACAGATGAAGAGGGCTTTCTTCTGTGGGGAGTGAATCTGTGAAATCCTTTACTGCAGAGTGCTTTGAAGGCTGGGTCTTTAAGTATATTCAACACTGATATAGACAGATTTTTAATCAGTGCGGAATCAAGGGTTTTGGGGAAAAGGCAGGAAAGTGGACTTGAAGATTACCAGTTCAGTCATGATCTCATTGAAAGGCACAGTAGGATCAATGAGCTGAACAGTTTACTTCTGCTTATGATTTTATAAATAAGGGCAACCAATGGATCAGGTATACAGTCTGTTCTGATAATAACACGTTAGTTCCGTTCTCGTGCAATCTTGCATTATAAGAAAATTGTGCAATTGCCGTGCCATTTAAACTACTGGGGCCAGAATCACCAATACAGGTAATTCATTCAAGTCCATCCATATTGCTTTGAATCACACTGATGACACTTTTTATCATTCTAATTTTAAGTCATGTCTACATTGTGGATGACCAGTTAAAAGGAATATAAATCAAATATACTATTTCCAAGCTTGCAGATTGCACAAAATGAGCTGGGAAGGGGATTTGTGAGAGTGATGCAAAGAGAATTCAAGGGTATTTGGACAGGGTGAATGGGTAAGAACATGGTAGACAGAACATTAATTGGATAAGTGTGCGTGGAATAAAGGTACAGAGCATTTATTAAATGGAGAGAGATTGGGAAGTGCTGATGTACAAAATAATCTCAGTATCTTTGTGCATAAATCTAAAATGTAGGTCTTTGGGGGAGGGGGTGGTCAAGAATCAGATGACACAGTCTCAGTATAAGGAACAAGGTCTTTTAAGGCTGAGGAGGAGAAATGTTTTCACAAAGCTGTGCAAGTTCAGTCATTGGGTATGGTCAGACTGAAATCAATAGATTTCTACGTACTAGTTACATCAAAGGATTGCGAAAATGGCACTGAGGTATATGATAAGCCATTATCTAGATGTATCTGCAACCACACAGTACTGTGGTCTAATGATGTAAGTGATGGGTATCAATACCAATTGTTGCTGTAAGCTGTGAATGGCATAGGTATTGCAATTTGCAATGAGATCCTCAGTGGCCTTGGTGATTCCACACATGAATGCACGTTTTCTGAGTATTCTGAAGTATCTCATTAAATATCTATCACTTCATCTCTACTCACCTAACCCACAGTCTAATTCCACAATTCATTTTAGTAGCTCAATCTTCATGGCCTTATAAATGTCTTTATTTAAGTTTAACAAACTAGTATTTGATCCACTCTTCTCTCCCTCAAACTGAATTATGATCACTGTCATGTACGGGCATTTTCATGCAGGGCATTAATTCACACTATCTCAATACATATTATCAGATTTAGTATATCCTATTCTGATTGGCTCTAGAAGTCGCTCCTCTAAAAGAATGTTCAAAAAACATAATGATCTCATTATCCAGGTTTAACTTTGTCATTTCAATTAGCCCAATATCTTTGTAGATTGAAATTATTCACATTCACACTGTGAGCTAAATTTGCTATCAACTGAATAAAGTGAGGAATGGTGACTCAGTTGAGAAAATATGGTATGGTGGAAAAATATAATTCTTTACAAGGAGGAAGAATCCGATTTTCCACCCAAGGTTTGAATAGGGAGTTGGAAATTTTGATCACGAAGGGGGAAAGGCCTATTTGCATGCATTTACATATCAATAGTACATAACCTTACCTAAATTTTTCCTATTCTCCCACGCACTAGAGAGAAACTAGATGGCGACAATTCCTGACACGAAGATCAGAGGTGATACCAGCAGCTCATGATTGCCCCTTGCTTCTCCAGATCCCCATTTGAAAAGTCCCAAACTTTTCAGGGCATGCTCCACGGGCAATGACTCCCTGCAATTTCCATCCACGAAGGTTGCATTGGACATATGTTGTGCTAATGTGGTGAGGCTAGTGTATCTCCAAACCATTGAGAATACAGTTCTCCAATTCAAAGCTACACATTGCAGCACACAGATATCCTGCATTGCAATGCTGCTGCTAGGGAAAGCATTGCACTTTATGCATCAGCACATTGTGCATCTCAGTGCTCTTCATTTGCTTCACACTCACTTCACTCTTGGATGTTCACAGCATTTCTGCTTTGCCTTTTTGCACTTTACCCTTTCATTCAGAACTTAAAGACTTACAGTACATTTTTTGTTGCCATCTAGCCAATTAGACAAAAAAGCTAGACAGCTTGTCATGATTGTTTGCAGTAATCAATTAAGGGAGTGGATATACTGCTCTACAGCACCATGTTATGTCAATATCACACCTAAAACAAGTGCAGCAGTTTATAATTCAAGGACATTGTATGTTCTTCAACCAAAAAGCTATGTTTCAAATTCTAAAGAGTACAGTTGTTAGGGGGACTATCTCCAATCAAAGGGTCTCACCATTGTTAGTCATGGGCATCAGATGATCTCAGTCAAAGGGCTTGGACATAGCCAGTCAGTTGTTTGGAGTGATCAGTGTCAGAGTCTGTATCACATTGGTTCAGGGAATGGGCCAGAGTCAGTCCTGCAAGTACCACTGGAATCAGTTCAGGGATTCGCAGTAAGTCTGTTGGGGAGCTGCACAGAAATCATTCAGGGTGTCCATCTAAGTTGGTAACGAGGGTGGCCACTGTCAATTGTGGGGGTCTGGTCAATGAAAGTCAAGGATACTATTAGGGACCAATGCAGTGGTAGGGAAGCTGGGAAAGTCAATT